CATGGTACCTAGACATGGCTGGGTGATAGCAACCCCGTGTATATGAGAATATGGAAGTAAGCTTTATTCTTCACCACAGACCGTTACGTTTAGCAGTAGTCTAAGAGGTAGATAAAGATGGCAGTACTGTCCGCTCATGAACAGTGAAGCAGGAAGTGCCTCGTCTGCAGGCACACAGCTAGCAACAGTGATAGTGTGTCCCAGGGTCTGCCCCCCTCACTGGCAGGGTTGTGTTTAGTTCTTATAGCCCAGGTCCTGCTGAGGCCTCCTGGCCAGGAGAGGAAGGTGCTGCAGCCGCCCAACTGCTTCCCCAGAAGTGGCACAGCCAGTAACATGGTCATGCTCTATTTCCCCAGACTGAGTAGCCTTCTGTCAGCTGCCCTGGAGGCCACACTAGGGTCATCATAGGTGTCACCTGGGTCAGGGGCTCCATCGTCCCTGTCTTCCTGAGGAGCTGACCCATACGGAGTGCAACAAGGATCAGCTCTCCTTTTCTGACCTAAGTAAGGGAGGGTTGCTTTTCAGGTGAGAAAAATAAAATAAAGAACTCCCCATTTGACCTGGGACTGCTATATTTACCAAGAAAAACCTTCAGGTCACTCAGAGCTGTCCAGCCAGGGTATGAAGTTAGAGTTGAATCAGGAGAATGAGGTGGGTGTGAAGGGAGCCCTGGGGAAGGTATTGTCTGCCTCAGCAAGGGAGTCTACAGGGAGGGCATGCAGAGAGCCCAGGCCCTACTCATCGCTAGCAGCCCTGAACAGGGCCTCCAGGGCATGGAGTGGTCTGTGAGTCCTTGGGCTGGGAGCCAAGCACCAGGGTGTCTGTGGCTGTGTGGAAAGGAGGAAGGAGACCTGGGTCTAGTTTGGGACATTCTAAAGTCCCTCCCTCCAGGGAAGGGAAGGTGGCTCAGCTCTGCTCTGAACCCACCCCGTCTGCCCACAGCTCTTGTCATTCGCCCTGCTCAGCACTTCCTCTGAATTATGTCAGTGGTGGGCACTGGGCAAGGCGGCCTCCAGAGCGCAGCAGTCCCACAGGGCCTGTCAGTGGAGTGTATGCAGCAGAGAGGCTGGCTGTGCCCTCTGCTCTCTGTACACAAAGCCCTCTGCCTCAGCTACCAAGCGTGTTAGCCCTGCCTCTGCTGCCACGGGATAAGGCTGTCATGCAGTTCTGTCAGTGGTTCAACATTGGGCTAGGGGCAACGTGGGGTTCCTCTGTCAGATGCTCCCAGCGTCTCCCATGGGCAGCCCGCTCCTGCCCAGTGCTCAGGGTTTAGGGGAGCAGAAGGAACCCGCAGGCCTGGAGAGAGAGGTGAGGCTGGTGGCTACTCCTCCTGCCAGGTCCAGCCCAGGTGGTCTACTTCAAGGCCTGTGCAGCATCCCAGCAGGTTGAGCCTGGAACCATGGATCCAGACACTGACTTGTAATCCTGTTCTCTTTGAGAACCTTACATTCATAAAAAGAGTATCTTAATTTTCTAGCGCTGCTGTAACAAACTACCATAAAGTGGGTGACTTAAAAAAATAGAAATATATTATGTGAGCCTTGTCACTTCCTTCTGGGAGAGAAACTGGTCCATGTCTCGCTCCTGGCCTCTGATGATGGCTCCTGGCAATTCTTGGCCTTCTTGTAGCTAAATCTTCACTTGCTCTCTCTCTCTCTTTCACAGACACAGACACACACACACACACACGTGCACACGCATGACCTCCTTATCATTCTCCACTTTAATAAAACATAAACACAACTCAGTAGTGATTAGGACTCACCCTGCTCCTTCATGATTTCCTTATAAACTTAAACTGATCCCATTGTCAAAGATTCATTTCCAAATGGGGTCACATTGACAGTTACAAACCAAACCGGGCTCACTGCCTTCGAGCCGATCCTGACTGATAGTGACCCCCATTGGGTTTCCAAGGCTGTAATTCTGCACACTGCCTTATCTTTCTTCCCCAGAGCGGCTGGTGGGTTTGAATCACTGGCCATTTTTTGGTTAGCAACCAAATATTTTAGCCACTGCACCACCAGAGCTCCTTTTCACAGGTACAGGGGTCAGGATATCAGCATATCTTTTTGGAAGACACAGTTCAATCCATTACAGAGAGGTTCCACCTCCCAGAATTGACAGGAATTAAGATTTCATCCCATGAACTGCTGCTTTTTGAAATAAAACATTCCAGATAAGGGGCTACTTCTGGACCCCCCACCCTATTCCTGATCCCGTCCAGGTCCCTTCCCCCAGACCTGTCTGTCCTGACTCTGTCCATCCTGTCATTTTTATACATAGATCTGGTTCTTAAACACTTTAAAAGCGTTTTGCTCAAAAT